CCCCTCCCCGACTGTGTTTTAATGCAGGGTCAGATGGAGCCTGGCCTCAGCGCCTGCACCCATCCCCACTCTCCTGCCTGGAGGGGTTCAGTTTCGCCAGCTCTGGGGACCTGCTTAACAGCAAAAACGTCTGAGTTTTTTTCTTTATCTTCACCTCTCCATGCCATCCCCCAGATATCAGAAAGGCCATCTTTTAAGGTAAGACAGATAGAAAGCTTTGGTCTAGAATGTGCTCAGCAGACAGCCTCTGGCCTGCAGAGAAACCCCCAGGGTTGGCTCCAGAGTCCAGCCCCACATTTGCCGCTCAGGTGCCCGCCCTGCTGCAGGCAGCCCACTTAAAGATTTCTAGGGCAGCCGGTGACAAGACCCCACTTTCCCCCCTCGGTTCTGTTAGCTGAATTCTCTGTGGTCAGCAGCTCTTCTTGGAGGTTCTTCAACACACCTGCTTAGCTAGTTCTTCCCCACTCACTTTTCTCTTACAATAAAGAGCAGAGCTTCTGGGGCTGGGGTTGTGGCTCAGCCATAGAACATTCGTCCAGCAAGAGCGAGGCACTGGGTTCCATCCTCAGTACCACATAAAAATAAATAAATAAATGTCCAACTACAACTAAAAAAAAATTGAGAGAAAAAGAGGAGCTTCTGTTTTCCTGATTCCACCCAGACATTTCACAACCAAGTGACATGGCAGGTGTGTGGCAGGGGTGAGAATACCCGTTGGCAACCTCACTTGAGAAAAGCTACAGTTGGGTTCATAGTAGCAACTTTCATTGGGTGAAAACAGGTCATCTCAACACTTATTAAGTGATTGTTTTGTGCCAAACACTGTTCTGATCCCTTGGCCTGTAATCACTGTAGTAATAGCAGGGAAATAATGTCACCCTCACCTCTAATTCATCTCATCCAGACCCCCAGGACGTGGCCTCATTTGGAAATAAGTTCATTTCAGGTTTAATATGGGTTAATCTGGGTAAGGATCAAGATGAGATGGCCCTGGATTATTGGACCTAAACTCAATGACAAGTATTATAAGAGATAGAAAGCTAAGCATGGCGGCCCACACCTGTGATCCCAGCTGCTTGGAAGGCTGAGGCAGGAGGATAGCAAGTTCAAGGCGATGCTGGGCCACTGAGCAAGGCTCCTTCGGAGTCACCGGAGGCAGCGTGGCCCTGCCTGCCGACAACTTGATTTTTGAATTTCTGGCCTCCAGAACTGGGAGAAAATAAATTTTTGTTGTTTCAAGTCATGGATTTTGTGGTAATTTGTTATGGCAGCCCTAGAAACGGATATCATTTAATTCTTATAGAAAAAATCTGTGTTTAAAGAGGAGTTTGGAAGCCTGGGTTCTTCTCTCTGGGTCTTCCAAGTGTCCCCCACGTTGTGTGCACTGTGGGCTTCATGCTGCCTCAGGCCGTCCATTTTCAAGTGACCTCAGTCCCCTTCCCTGGTCCTGGGGAGCTGCCCGACCCATGGGGCATGGAACTGGCCCCAGTTTGCCTGCCTGCTCTTACCCCCCTTGACCTCTGTGTTTGAAATGCGTCAACGCGTAACTTTGAGGATGAAGTCTCCTCGTGAGTTTTGGATGATAAGCACTGCACTTGCCAAGCCCCTGAAGGGAGCCCCAGGAGACATAGCCCCTGCTGCTCACTCTCTGTCCTGTTCTCCTGACTCCTGGGGAGGCCCTGAGGCCACTGTGCTTGCTGGACAGTTCCATTTGTGATTGGGTTGCTAAGCACGGCCCACACCCAGGTGGCTGTGTGAAGAACAGAGGAATGAGTCGGGGTAGGTGGGAGAGCTCTCCAAGCCCACATGGGGTCCTCTGTACATGGTCATCTAAGCCTTTCTTACCATGGGACCAGGCACAGCTCTTGCTTGTCCTTGAGTGGTGGGCTTCAGTCCCTTGCAATCAGTGGAATTATTCCAGTACCCTACTGTGGGGGCCAAGGATCCTCCTGTCAGTAGGAGGCCTGCCTCCCACCACCCTGCCACTCACTCTGCTCCCAGATATTTTTGGAAATATCTGATATACTTCACCGCTGCTTTACTGACCGCAGGTGGACATACCCAGTGAATTGAGGACCAATGGCTCTAAATCTGTGTCTTTTTGCATCTTCCCTTTACAAGGGAGGAGGGTTCTCCAGTTGGCCACAGCATGCCATATGCTCCTCCTGGGCTGTGAGTGTATGTGACTTATCACCGTGGGTCTCCTCTGTCCAGTGTCGGGCATCTTATACACTTGGCCAGTTCCAGAATCTTACCTAGGCAAGGAACCGCTCCCTTGCTAATGGCGTGAATAGGAGGCGAGAAGAACACTCCCCTGTCCTGCAGTTATTGGAGGAATGTGGAATTCATTCCCCACTCACAGCATGAGTGTCACAGGCCTGGAAGTGCAGGGGATTTAGGTCTGGGTGGAAGATTATTTTCCAGGGGCTGGGAAGGATGGTGAAGTCATTCCTGGAAAGGGGAGGAGTCTGAGCAGGTTCTAGCACAGAAAGAGGGAGAAGGGGTCTCAGAAACCTTCCCAAAAATCTGCCTTGTGACTCCAGGGCCCCTGCTCAGAGGTGGTGCTCCTGCTGATCTTGGAGAAGAGTTCTTTTCTCTGGGTTTCCATCCTCCCCTTTCATAGTAGTATGAAGGGTTGCATGTCTCCTTGAACTTCATGGTTGAACAGAAGTTCAGCCTCCAAGCCACTCAGCTCCTGGTCCAGCCCCTGGCTGGCACCTGCCTGATAACCACCTGCTCAGAGTTCACCGTGCGTTGAAAAATATCCTCAATGTGGCCGCCAGGGGGCAGCCACACCCAGAAGTCCTCCTATGCACAGGTACAGGGACATACAAAATCCAGCATTTTTGGAAATAATCTGATATATTTGGCTACTGCTTTACTGACATCAGATCTACACACTGACCAATGCACTGAGGGCCCAATTGCTCTAAATCTTTCTCGTATTTAGATTTGCTTTATATATCCAATGACTGCATGCTTAAAGAATTTACCAGTCCTTTCCAATCTATTTGGCCAGTGTACTTTCCTTGGTTCTCAAGCCCTCTTAGATTTTGCTTATCTCCCTCAGCCTGATTTACAATTTGTGCCTTACGTGTGCCCAAAGAGAAGCCACCCGCTGATGTGGGTTTAAGATAGCACTCACATGGCTTTGCCTAGTGATTCAAAGATTATGGAATCCGTAACATTCCTCTTGGCCAGCTGATCTCTAACTCTTATAGTGGCTCATATCGAATTGTGAGTGTTCTGAGGGGACCTAAGCTCAAAGGTAAGGCCAGAGGCAGCATTTCAAATCACATCCTTTCTACTTGTAACTGCTTCTTTGTGGCTCCATCTGCTCCTCTTGTTTTTGAGTGACTTGGTTCACATGTTAGATTACTCTGTCTCTAAACAGACACCTGGATGTGCAGCACAGATGATTTTAGGATCATTTTTGAGAATAAACTGCCTGATATCTCATTTAAAATTTATTGGCTTGAATAAAGTCAACAAACTCAAGTCTCTTTCCCCGTAAGGTTCACAAGTCTTTGCTCTTGCGGCCAAGAGCGATTAGCTTTCTATGCACTGTCCTGCCGGTCCTTTCTGCACCCAGGAGTCCTTGGCTGATGAGGCACGTGGAGGAGGGTGAGGGCTGGAATTAAGGAAGCAGAGAGTAAGCCAGCTTTCTGCTTAAAGCAACCAGTGACCTTGGATGTGTCCTTGAACCTTGCCCAGCATCTGTTTTCCCCACCAGTGTTTGGCTGACCTTCACAGAGCTCTTCAAAGCCAGCTCTCCAGGGAATTGCAGGCCACATATCTATTCTAGAGAAGTTTAAAGCCGCTCCTGCAGTCAGGCCACAGTGCCCCAGCAGAGGGGGGAGAGGTGTTCTTCTTGATGGCTAGTTCATGCCAATCCATGGCAGTCCTGGCTCCCGTGGGAAGGCCAGAAACCCAATTCATCTGCATACAGAGTGGACCCACCTCTTCAGGACCGATTCCAGATGAGACTCTACAGGAGCAAAATCAGAGTCGTAATGTCCTCACCTATGGTGACAACGAGGGGCCTGATATCTGAATGAGAGACTCTCATGGTATCAGATGAGGACAACCTGATAAGGGATTTCATTAGGGGACTGTGACCAGAGGGTCCCTGGCCAAAGACATGCTTGGGGAAGTGCCTACTACCACCATGGCTGGGCAGGGTCCCTTCTCTGATTCTGCTCTCGCTTTCTGTATTAGTCTGTTTTCTGATGCTATAACAAAATACCTGAAGTTGGGTAACATAAGAGACTTATGTAACTCAGTTTTGGAGGCTGAAAGTCCCAAGATCAAGTGGCCTCCTCTGTGTGGCTTCTGGTAGAGGACCCCTTGGCTGTGTCACCTGGTGGGTGGCATTATGCCAGTAGTGCAGTACAGCAGGAGAGATCACCCACCAATCTTGGTCCTTTGTAACATGCCTTCTTGTGGGAACTAACTAGTTCCCCTGAGAACTACATCAGTCCTTCTGAAGACAGTGTCTCCAGTGAGCTAACCAACCCTCTTCTTCACCAACCACCACACCAAGGACATGGCTTCCAACACTCCAACACTTGGAGGAAACATCACCTCCAAACCACAGCACTTTTTACCTGGAGGGCCCCAGGGCTGACTGGGTGCTGTTCTTTCTCTTTGAAACACATCATTAATCAGCGATTTGGGGGCAGAATTTAGGTTAAGGTCATTTTTTTCTTTTTTGGCTCACATGGTTTTAAAAATTAACTGCCAATAGGTAAAAATCAGATTTCATAGCCTCCCTTACAAAATGGGCACTCTCCCGTTGGCCATGGTCCCCTCTGGGGCTTAACTTCTGTGCCTTCTATCTGCAGGCACACCTCGAGGGGGGACGTTTCTCTGTGTGCTGTGGACAGAGTGTTCTACCCACAGGTGACCTCAAGACTTTGGGGCTACTCTCTCAGAGCCCCCCAAGAACTGTTACCATCTTCTAAAAGCATCAGACAGATATTAAAAGAACACACAGAAGATCATGATGAAAGACTTTAATTTCTTTTTCAAAATCGTATTAATACAGCACAAAACCACGGTCATCCTATCCAATGGACCCGTGAAATATTACATGCAAAATAGTCATTGAGATTTCGTTAAAATCACTCAGAACAGCACCTGGCACACGGCAAGCACTTGATGTACGTGAATACAAATTTAAAATGTAAGCATTTGAAATGTGGCTCAATTCACCCCTGCCCCCCCCACACACACCTTTCCCCCTCCCTGTGTAAGCTCAGCGGGGAGAGGAGGGAGACGGAGTTAAAGGGTGTGTGGTCAGGGGAGTGGGTGTGATGCCTGGATCTTCAAGGGCGGAAGGACTAAAGCCCCCAGGTCTCCCCGTGCCTTGAAAGGCCCAGGAATCCCAGTCGGGACGTGAACTGGTGACACGGAGCGTCTGTACGTCTGTACTATCAAGGGCTCACGCTGCCAGTCACAAGTGTTCTGGGACCCTCTCCAAACTCCATTCCTTCTGTCTGGGCAACACGAATCCATCTGAACCAGGGTCTGGCTCACACAGGGGCCATGAGCTGCCAGCAGCCGTAGCTGGGCTCCAGTGGCCCAGAGCCCCCAGAGGACAGCAGGCCAAATGTCGCGTCCCTGCGTGTTTGGGGTTGGGGAGGATCCTGGCTTCACTCAGGATTCTGAAAGACTCTGGGACCCAAAGATTCACACATCCAAGGACGGTAGTAACTCAGGCTGACCCAGGCCAGGGTTCTGCCCCGGGGGGGGGGGGGGGGGTTGCCCCAGGCACTCACAGGGGAGTCCTGTTGATTATGTGCCACAAGGACTGGAACTAGGCAGGGCCACATTTGTCTGAGGATGGTCGCTCATGCTTATGTGCTGCTTCTCGTTTGTTACATCCGGGTTTTTTAAAATTATGTTTTACTTAAATGTTCCATAGTCTCCAGGAAAGCCGAGGCAGGGGAGACTTCAGGATGTCACAGGGCAGAGGACCCCATGCTACAGCTGGAGAAGGCTGACCCCCAGGACACTGCTTCCTCTGTGACTTTCTGAGGAAGATGGCACTAGTGGAGGCCTAGCAGGTACACCCCCTCCATCCATCCCTACCCCAGCTCTTGTCTGCAAGGAAGGGTGTGAGGGTGGCCCTGTCCCTGGGGATGGGAGGGAGGCGCAGCCCAAGTTGCCTAGGGCTGCAATAACCAAGTGCCCCAAGCTGGGGGCTGGACAGACAGGCAGGGTCTGCCTCAAGCTCTGGAAGATTGAAATTGAAGTGTGGGCAGGGCCAGGCGTCCAGTGACACCTGTAGGGGGGATTCTTCCTTGTCCCTCCCCAGCTCTGTCAAGGCCATCCATCCTTGGTGGTCCTTGGCCTTTAGCTGCACGGTTCCAATGTCTGCCTCTGTCACCCCATGGCATTCTCCCTGGGTCTATCCAGGTTTCCCTCTTCTGAGAACTCCAGTCATATTGGATTAGGACCCACTCCAATGACCTCATCTTTCCAAAGGTCACCTTCACAGGTCAGGGGGTGGGTAGGACACCAGTATATCTTTTGGGAGGCCACAAAACAGTCAGTTCATCACCAATGATCCTGCCACCTCGGCCCACGTGTTGCAATGCCCACACCCACTCCTCCCCCCTAGGCTCCTCGGGGTGGGGGACACCTCTCCATCCAACTGAGCACCTTCCCCTTGGTATATATTCTGAAGGGGGCATTTTTTCTCCTCTCTCTCAGTCCTATAGGAAGCAGGTTTCCTTCCAGACTGAGACATGTGCATGGGAAATGTGTGTCTGCGTCTGTGACACTGTGTGCTGTGTCTGTGTTTTGGGGAGGGGCACTTGGAGGGCGGATGGGTGGAGGGGAGAAGTGGGAGATGAGAGGGTCATAGGAGGATAGAGCCACAGTCGTGAGCCCAAAAGTGACAGAAACAGAAGGAAACTGAGCTGTGACAAACACAGGAACATGGCGCCCTTGGCGGCAGCCCTGTGAGGTTGGGCATGAGGGGGACACTGACTCTGTGCTTCAACAGAGACCCACGTGGCCCTGGCTGAAGGGGGAGTAGAGTTAAGTTCTTTTCGATGAACACCGATTAGAGGGTGGCTCAGGAGGGTGCGAGCTCCTGCTTCAGGGCCAGGCCCAGGCCCCAGACCCTTCTTCCGCCCTCTGAGAGTAGCCTGTTCTTCCCAGACAAAGCTGCTCAACACCTGTCCATGTCCCAGTTGCTGAGAAGGGGGACAAGGACAGTGGAGGGCATGTCTTTCCTTTCCAAGAATTACCTGGAAACTGCACGCGTCACCTCCCCTTCTCCAGGCCAGACGGAGTCATGTGACCTTGCCAGCAGCCTGGGCCTGTGGGACTAGCCGCCCACACCCCTGGAAGGCCGCTGTGTCAGGGATTCTGCAGGATTCGACAAGGCAGCCAGGATTCTGGGGAATAATTGACGGTCTATTTCGATTTTAGAAAAAAGAGTGTCATTAATCCACCCTGCACCCCTAAAAGAGCAAAAGAAATCCAATGGCACCCAGACAAAAAGGAATATGAGAAAACTCAGATTGTCGTGGGGGCTTGTCCCGCGCTAACTAGGCTGTGGGGCTCACGGGGAAGGCGGCAGCCCAGGCAGGTGTGCGTTGGGCTGCTCCACGGCCAGCTGGTTCTCGACGACGTAACACGCTCTGCAGCTCTCCAGAACCCGGGCCTGGAAGAGGGCCTTGTCCTTCTCCTGCCAGGAGTCCGACTCGATGTACACGTTGAACGGGTCGTGTGAGTGCTCCAGTTTCTTGGAGCGGATGTAGCTCAGCATGATGCCCAGGGTGAAGAAGCCGAAGAAGCCCAGCACCATGAGGATGTAGAGCGCGGCCAGCTGGCTGTCGTCGCGGGCGGGAGCCCTGCGGGCCAGGCTGGACGCGTTGATGCCCTGTTGAACTAGCTCCCGCCACAGCGTGGTCAGATAGGGCATCACCACCGTGGAATTAGACAGGATCATCTGGGCTTCCAGGTTCCACTGCTGGACCGAGAACTTCCCAGGCAAACTTCCTGAAAGAAAGATGCAACCTGACATCAAAGATCCACCGGTCACACCCACGCCCGTGCACACATGGCACACGAGTCTCTAAAATCTCCGTGACAGAGATGAGCAGACATGCTCCTCAGGCCACAGCGTGTGTCCCTTGGGTCTGCACCGTGCCCTTTGTTGATGGATCAGTTGGTAAGTCAATTCCCTTTATTTCCTTATCCCCCACACAGGTGACCACTGGCCTGAGTTCCATTAGTACGTTTTGTCGTCGATCCTGGATTGTGTATATGTGTGCATTTTAGTTGGCATAAATAGTATTGGGTTCCGTGTCTCAGTGGGTCTCTCTTTTCCTTCACCATTGTGTTTTTATGCATGCTCATGCTGCTCTATGTGAGTGTGTGTTCCCTTAAATTCAGCTATTGCACAGACTCTGTGAACACTCACTTCTCTGCTCACCGCCCCAGAGATGGACACCTCTGTGGCCACAAACTCCATAAACAAAGGAAAGACAAATGTCCTTACCCTTGTCCTCTTATGGGCCTGAAAAAAGTCACATTTCATACAACTAGATCCTGGAGACTGAATGACTCATCAGACTGAGTTACTGTCATGGCGCCCTAGGGAGCAACGAGCAATGGGTGGCTGCTGAGGTTTGAAGTGTTACCCCCAAAGTCCCTCCTTTGGAAATCTGCTCCCCACTGCAACAGTGTTGAGAGGCAGGACGTTTAGGAAGCGGATGTCATGAAGGCAGAGCCAGAACTCATTTGTGGATTGAGGGGTCCTCTCTGGCAGGCTTGCTCTGTCCAACCAAGGGATGCCCTCCACCATGTTTAGGGACAGCACAAGGCCCTCACCACATACTGAGCTCATGCTGGCACCAGAACCTTCCCAGCCTCCGGGATCATGAGCTAAATAAACCTCTATTCTTTATACATTACTCTGTATGCAGTTCTAGCCACAGGAAACAGACCACAGTGGTCTATGGCACCATGGACATCTCTCTAGGGACAGCCTTGTTCATTTGCATGGGACCTACCCCATCCCGTGGAAGCCTTTGGAATAAGCTGTCAGAGTCCACTGAAGCTCCTCTCCAAGAGGCCGGTGGAGCAGCCTGTGCTGTCTTCCCTTTTCTGCCCACTGTCCTCCACTGGAAGGCTTAGCATGGCCGTGTAAGCCTTCCATTGACGCTGCACACCAATATGCCCGGGATGGCTGTCAACCTCAGAAGCCCAGGTCTAGGTCTGCAGAGTAGACCCAGAGCTCCATTTTCATAAAATTGGCTAATTTAAATATAAACACTGAAGCCAGCACCAGGTGAAGACATTTTGCCTCTTTCCAAGGCCCCTCTTGCTCTATCCATCCCTGAAATGTGGACGTACCTTAGAGTCCACTGGTCTTCTCAGTCCACTCTTTCCCTGGATGATCACACCCTCTCCTTCAGGTTCACTCACCTGACCTGGACCCTGGTCTCCCTTCTAGCCAAATCTCCAATGACCCACCAGGGGCCAACCGCATCCTGCCTCAGTAGGCCGAATGGCAATATTATCAACCCCCAAATCTGAGTCACCCTCATGGCAAATCTCATCATCTCAGTGCCCAGGTTGAAGGCCTTCCTCGGCTCTGCACCTTCAGAGGAATGCCTCCTTGTTTGTGTGGACAGAGGCCTTAAATTCCAGGGGCTTCCCTTTGCTCTTCAGCTCCACTGTCACCATGGTGCCCAGACACCATGCCCTTGACCCCTGGTGCCTTGTGGATCCTGCAAACCTCCTTCATCTTTCTGTGCCTCAGCTCACATTGGCTCTCCTGAAATTGTGATACTCACGCTTGGCCTGTGAGACTCCTTCATGGTGCCCTCTCATGCTTTCCAATTCAGCTCTCCTTCCTGAAGCCTCCTCTGATGTATGGGGCTAGCTCAGCAACACCCCAGCACGCTCCTTCCCAACTGCATCGCAAAGAGGCTCTCTAGGCCCCTCACTCTGTCCCCCGCAAGATCTTTAGCCTGGTACCTGGCACATAGAACACAAGATCTGCCAGGAAAGTTGTTGAGTGGAAGCCACGGGAACTTAATACCTTTCCCTGAGTGGGGCCTGATTCCTTAAAACCCACTTAAAATAGTTAATAGATGCCAAGGAGCTGGCTTCAGAGCATGAGCTATCTCCCTTTTCAAGAATGGAAATGATCTCCCACCCCAAACAACCCGAGAGCATGCACAGAGATGCAGAAAGAGCTGAGGCTTTGGGATGGCCCCTCCAGCCCCAGGTTTGGATCCTGGCCCTGCTACCTCCTGGCCACAGGATCCTGGATGGGTTCCTCAGGTGTGCCTTTCCCCTTAGTAAAAGAGGAAGAAACATCACAGCTATCTGTGGGCTGCTGGATCATTGATACAGCATGATGACCCTACATTGGGCACAAAGTGTGACACTTTGTGGTCCCCAGTATGGGACTGTTTGTTTTTCTACCTCGTTAAGAAATTACAGCCCAAGGATTTGGGGTTTGATGCTAGGCTTCCCCATGGCTGACCACTGCGGCTCTCTTCTTTACTTATGGAGAGACTGGTCTTGAATGAGAAGTGACGATGGCTTGTGACTTTCTGACTGCTAGGCTTCTGAGTTTGTGCACAGAGGCTTATTAGGGGTAGTACAGCTGTGTGGGCTTAGGAGACACCAGTCACTGATTCTTACACAAAGTAGACATTTATCCCTCGTCTGATAACAGATCCAAACTCGATGCTCCACAATTTCTTCTTAAATGACTTGGAGCCACATAAGACTGCATAGAACCCTACTCCAGAAAAGAACAGGCCTTGAATTGATGATATGTTGTTATTTCCAAAACCCAGAGTGACCACAATTGGCAAATAATTCTGCTACCAATTACTATTAGGAGGTTCTTATAGCTTAATGACCACATGGGAGTAGACTATGGCAGGGGACATTAAGAGCCCAAATGTTAATTGGTTTAGAACCAATAACTCCACACAGCAAATTAACTCAAGAGTAACTTCTGTATTTAATTCATACTGGTGGATTTACTGAGAAGACTCATTACTTAAAACCAGATGGAATTTTCTAGGGCCCGAGGAAGCAACCAGAAACGTCTGCTTTGGAAATCTCCTGGACCTGGGCCTTATTCTAAGGTGGTAGGTTCAAGCTTCAATATGCTTTAGAAGATTGGGTTCAAATGCAGATTACTGGACTCCTCTGCTTCCAGAGTGTCAGGAGGTCCCGGACAGGGCCTGAGAATTTGCATTTCAAACACATTCACGGGCAGTGGTGCTGTTGCTGGTCAGTGCTGGTCAGGAGACCATGCTTGGTATCCTACTGGAATCCCCTGTGGCACTCCAAGTGCTGCCTGGATCCCACCTCCAGAGACTTGAAATAGGTCCATCTGAATTCCTGCCAGGCAATGGGACTTTTCAAGACCATTCTGCTACGGTTTGAATGTGTCCCTTGAATTGGACACTTAATCCCTAAGACAACAGTCTTAGAGGTGGGATCTTTAAGAAGTGATTGACTAGCATGGATTCATGCCTTATCTTGGGGGCAGGTTTCTAATAAAAGAATGAGTTTAAGACTCTCTCTCTCTCCCCATATCTATTTCTCTTTCTCATGCCCCACTTCCCTTCTGCCTCCCATCATGGGGTGCATAGAAAAAAGGCTGTCTGCCAAATGTGAATCCCTTGACCTTGGACTTCCCACTTCCAGAACTGAAAGAAACAAACCTCTATTCTTTATATATTACTCAGGCTCAGGTATTCTGTTATAAGAGCACAAAACAGACTGACATCCCTCCAAGTGATCCCTGTTTGCAGCCAAGACTAAGGGCCTCTGGGCTGTGGTGTGGCACCTTAGAAAATTGACCACTCAGTCCTTTGTGCTGCAGAGTACCTGGAAGAATCTTCTAAGAATGCAGAACGTGATTTCACTGCCTAATTTTTTAAATCTCATTTGTTTTCCAGATCTTTCTTATTCTTGTGTACCTTTGATGTCTGAACTGAAGTTTCCTGAGAGAAATTCTGGCCTTCACTGTACCCCCATCTGCCCCCATCCTAATGCACACCGGTAACTTAAGTGATTATTAACCTGTCAGAGCTTTATGACAGACCAGAAACAACTACTTTTCAGAAAGCAACTCTGCAGTAAAATAAATAAATAAATAAATCTTTTCTTTCTTATATTTATCACATTGCTTTTGCTAAATGCCCTCTGTACCCCAAAGCCTGCAGGCTGAGTCACTGAGGTATTTGTGTAATGTGTCTTCAAATGAGCCGGGCAATGTCATCCTAACAGTCAGCATGGTGTAAATGACACAGAAGCCAATCTGCCTGCCATTAGGGAGAGCTTGTGTCTGATTCTCCAAGTTCACACTCCATATAATGTCAAAGCCATGGCCCTGGAATCAGACTGCTGCACTCAAATGAATCTGGAGAGTGACTAATCCAACAGTCTTATAAGGCAGGGCTTATAGAGGATAGAGCACTTGCCCAAGGTCATCTCTCTTATCAAAGATACGTGTGAAATCTAATATGTTGGGTCTTGATTCACATTTTATTTGTATAGAAAAAGGAGTACCTAAAACCTTGTAGAAAGGGGACAGACTAGTTAGGCTCAGAGTAACTGAGAAATCAGCCACTTTATCTGGTGAAATTGGATCTCACAATTGAGTATTCCCATGGGCAGATAGGGGAGGCCTGGATGTCAGAGCCAGATACCTAAATATGCCACCTGCAGTTGTCCCATGCCCACCCCTCCACACCCCAGCCCCAGCCCCCAGAGAGAACCATGGCTTGTGTAACTTGCACAGTGAGTAAGGGGCTTCCCGCCCTTCCTGGTGGGAAGCAGTAGCAACAAGAGCCAGGGATGTCCAGCTCCATGCAAATCCAGCTGTATGCTCAGCCTGTGCTGAACATTCTCAAACTGGGTCTTGTTGGGTCCAGAAAGAGGCGAATTTCTACAAATTTCTGCATCTGCCTAGATTGGAGGCATGCATGGGCACAGCTCCAATCAAGCGAGTGCACTTTTGTTGTTATTGTTCCTTTTCTTAAAATCATGGGCCCAGAGCTGCTGATGTGCTTGAGATCACTCAGAACACAGGGCTCTGGGCAGCTGCACTGAACCAACAAGCTGCAACGGAGCCCACGTGGACACTCGGGGTGAAGGGGGCAGGGGTGTGGCCTTGCTGTTTCCAGCATGTATCACCTACATGCACACATTTCTCCCACATGCTCTGGCTCGGTCGCCTATCAGTACTGATAACAGCCTAGAAGTTTCCAGAACAGAACTGGCAACTGTCCTTTTTTAAGCACATACTGCCTGGGTGGGGCTTCCACGGCTGATTCCCAGCCTTCTTCCAGGAGCGCTAGATTCTGTGGGCAGGCAGGGGAGGCCTGGATGTCAGAGCCAGAGAGAACTCAGGGATACGATGTGCAGCCCTGCTCAGTCCTGGGTGAAACACACAGTCCCTCCTAGGTAGAACAGGAACAGCATTCCTGAAGGGTTTCCTCGAAAGAGCAGTCTTAAGTAAGACTGAAAGACCCAGCTTTGAGATCATTTTGCTATGGGCCAGGCTATATGGGCAACGACAAACAGACTCCATTTTGCCCTGAGACTCCACGTCATGTAAGACATGCTTCTCCCATGGAAAACCCCACCCTCTGTACCCATCCACAGTTCTTAGCGTGTTTGGCAACACAAAATGATAATTCTTATACAATGTAAAAATGTTCTCTCTTTGGTTCCCGTTTTTCTTGGACAAGGTACCCTGTCAGAGATATTAGTAAAGAATTAAAGTACAAATTCTTTAACTTGTACACAACTAGGGACTTTGTGGCCCACTCCCTTTTCTGCTTATGATTTTAGATCTCATGACATTTGCTTATGGTTTTGATTCATAGCAACAGCAACTTATGCTTTAATATGGGTTTGGACTATAAAAGGTGTACTCAAACCCCAGGAGGGGGTTGAAGGGTGTAGACTTGCAGTCTACCCCTTGACCCACCAGCTGGTGGATTCATACCACTGGCTGGTGAATAAAGTTTCATCTCCTGCTTTAAGATTGACTCTGTGATTTATTGCAATCTCACCTTAACAATTTGGCCTTGGATTGAGGAAGCAGAATGAGGGTAAAAAGCAATTATGGATAAGCCTAATTTGTGTGAATATGATCTTATCTGAGTCAAGAATTCGGAGTCCACTTTTCTTGGAAGCAACTGTTCATTGTTTTGTCTTTATCACAACCTTATGTCTGAATTCTAGAAACATGCTGTACTTATCTCCTCGTAGGAAAGAAGATACCCAGGGCCACCAGGGTCTTCCAGACAGAGACTGGTGTCTTTGTGTTCCAGCCTTCCCTTCTCCCTGGAGTCATAGGGTCTCTAGGGCGGCCAGGGTCTCTCAAGAGATTAGGAGTGAACCATGCAGAGGCACAGAATCACACAATCAATGTCACAGAAATCAGTGTCCACATGGATGAGAAAGGTGTTTTCTGCTACCACCTGGCTGGGCATGGGCTGTGGCCCTTGAGTCTCTCTCTATTACCAGGAGCCTCCCAGACCTCTTCCTGGGTGATAGACAGGGAGCTTGGAGTTTGAGGAATGGAAAACAAGGAATGCCCAGGAAGTTCAGCCAGGGCACCAATGAGAGGGACCCAGGCAGCCTCCATATGGGAAGAGAGTAAGCACTCTAGGCAGAGAATGGATGACAGCTAAAATCACTTATAAGGAGGACAGACAGAAATCTTATGTTCAGTTAAATAAATAAATCCAGGGAGCCCCACCTTCCTCATTTGAAAAGTGGGAATAATAAAATCTAACCTGATTACATATGGCAGGTTTTGTGCAACATAAAAAAATTCCACCACCTCTTCCTTTTGCCCGCCAAAATCCTAATCTGCTTGTTAGAATTCTGCTTGTCCTTGGAAAGCCTGCTTCTAAGTCAAACTATAAGTGAGCCCCATTTAGACTCCCCTCCCTGCTTTGGCCCCTCACAGAGCCTGGTTTTCCCACAACACTGATCATATTCTAACTTGTATTGGAATAATTTATAGATGTGTTTGGGCATTTCCTTCTGGGAGCCTGAAGATCAGACTCTCTTGTTCACGTATGCCCCCCACCCCAGCACCCAGAATATTTCAATAAGGGTTTGCTGAGTTAAATGGGAATGCAAAAGTAGATTCAATACCACTACAGTGGGAATGAGAGGGTGGATAATTTGTAAAGTACAGTATACTCTGGAAATAGACTATAGGGTAGTCACAAGAAAACTTCTCACAATGCAGTTTGCTTTGCATGTGAAAATGTATAATATTAAAATGTATAATATTTATTTCTTCATATTATTATTTATTTTGCATATTAAAATTTATATTATCCATATAGTCACATATATATCTGCAATCCACCTTATTCCTAAAGAAGTTTGAGGCAGTCAGAAATTGGTGATGGTAGAATACAATTTTCATCCCCACCCCAGTAACTCTTACCTTACTTTCCTTTTCTTTTTTCCGTAGTATTTATCACCTGCTATATAAATATAGTTTTCTTAATTATTATGTCTGTTGTTTGATGTTTGTCTTTCTCATCAAAATATAAGCTTTTGAGGACACGGATCTTTGCAGGCATTGTTCCTCATTTTCTCCCCAGTGACTAGAACAGAGACTAGCATATGGTGGGGGTGCAATAAACATTCATCAAATGCAGGCATGCATGAATGCATACGGGTTCCTTTCAACTACCACAATGACCCAAACTGTGCGGGGAACTGTCTCATCCTCAGTAACTTAAAGTGAATCATCGAGTCCCTCTGAGATCTTCAAAGTGCACCTTATTTTTAAAAGGATTCCCTTTCTGAGCACCTGTCTTAGGCTAGCCACACCTCTGATCTTAAGACTGTCATCTGGGGACACACAAAGGCCTTTCTCAGACAGACCTTGGCTGCTCTGATGGACAGCACCCAACACAGCGGAGAAGGCAGAAAGAAGGCTTTGACCCCGAGTCACAGCTGCCTAGAAACTTACTCATCACACCACCACAGGTGAGCTCTGCAAAGTTCCCATCACCCTAACCATAAATGACAGCTACAGTTACCTACAGGGTCTTCCTTAATGGAGCTGGGAGCTCTTAATCTAAATGTGGACTCAAGTGAGCTATCAACTCGCTTGCAGCAATCTGAAAAACCCGGAGGGCCATGGATCATGTTAATGCATCAGACACCTACATACATGGGGCTCTTTGGTCAGCTTTCTTCTAAAAATTCTCAGTTGTCCCCATCACAACCATCAAGGTCGGCAGATATCAGTCATGCTCTCTGTGCTCCATGCCTTTTCCCCTGAGAGAACCTTCCCAGTCCAATAAGTAAACAAATAAAATAAATTAAAAAGTTTCTTCCTTTGAGGCCGCTATGTATTCAAGTATTGCTGAGCTGGAGGCCTCTCTTTGAAACAAAGTGAGGATTGGGATGGTGGGTGGTTTTAATTTTCTTTTGATGCTTTTAGGTATTTTCCAAATTTTCTACAAGAATGCCTATAACTTTATAATTATGGAAAAAATGTTTGTTGCTCTACGGTGGTGACATGTTTTCCTATGCCTTTGTTTTATAAGTAAGTGAAGACAGGCGGAGAGAAAGGAAGGGAGTGAGAGGCTGAACCGGGCATTGAATCTCCCACTGCAGAGATCCGGACGCCTCTGGCCTGGGGCACGAGCTGTGCGTCCCGGGACTGAGACGAAGTCCAGGGAGCCCCGGTGGGGTCCCCACTAAGACATCTGCGCACGGAGAGAAGTGCCGGGAGGCAGGAACCCCTGACTTACCCGGGTCTGAGGCGCCAGAGAGCTGGGCGTGAGCCGAGTCCGCGCTTGGACCGAGTGCCGGGTCCCGGACTGGCGAGCCTGGGGGTGGCTCCCAGTAGGGCCAGCGCGGCGGGGCGGGCGGGGCCTCCCGAGCCGGAGGGCATCCAGCGAGCTCCGCCCCGCAGAGTCAGGGATCCGCGGGCGACCCCAGCCCAGCCCCGCCCAGCCCAGCTTTCTGCACCCTGCGCCCCAGCCCAACGCCGCGGTGCGCGGGGATCGCACGGGGTAGGCTCAGGGCTGGCAGAAAGTCTGCAGAATCCAGAGATAGACGGAAAAATCTTCCTAGTGTGGGAGTTTGGGATTAGCAGGGAAGAAGCCGCCACAGCCAAGAAAAATGCCCCCTGGATGACCCCCATCCACACACCACCAGCCGCGCGCCTGGAAAAACACCTCTTCACGCGTCTCCGAACGGAATCGCTCAAAGATCGCTCAGAACCCCGCCAGACTCCTTTTAGCTTTATCCCGCAACCCCAGTTGTGGCTTTGAACCCATTCAGCAAACATCCATTGAGCACCTACTTACTGGGTGCCTGGCTCTGAGCTGAGGATGGGCAGAGTCCCAACGCGACAGCCAGTCGTGGAGGCGCCCAAGCCCGGGCTCCACACTCCTAAGTCCTCGGGGCGGTGGGAACAGCCCTTATGTCAGCGAAGGGGCAAACCGTGCAATGGTGCAGGTGAGCTCCTGGCAATTTCACGGGAGAAGCCCGGGCTTGACAGGCCACAGTGAGAAGGCAGTCCCCCAATGATGCCCGATGCCCATTGCAGCGCGGGAATAAGGACCCGGCTCAAGGTCTGCAGGCGGGTGTCGGAGGCAGGTTTCTGATGTAGAGCTGGAAGCCAGTCTAAGGTCACTGCCCCAGGGTCTTCCTCAGCGAGTCACTTTTCCCTGGGCCTCCTCCTAGGAGGGCAATCCGAGGCTCTCCAATTGGAGGGGTCTGCCTGTGTGGCGCTGTGGGACCCTGCCTTCTGCAGATCTGGCAGTCTCTCCACGAGGGTGGGAATATAAACCCACGAAGCCACTTGGGAAAGTCCTAAAATGCACATAGCCTTGGACATGTAATTGTACTCTGGCAAAACTATTCCATGGAAAGAATTTTAGAAAAGAAAATTTTGGAACTACAGAAGAGCTTTATGTAAAGTTTCTTTGCAGTTTTACTTATAATAACTAGAATTTAATGTCTAAAAAGAGAAAATGGTGAATTAAATTATGGTACATATGATAGGATGCCATTCTACATAGTGAAATATTATATGTAGTTACTAAGGTAATGTTTTCCTATAATTGGTTACAGCATGGGGATTTTTTTAAATTATTTTTTTTAATTGTAGATGGACACAATATATTTATTTATTTATTTTTATGTGGTGCTGAGGATCTAACCTGTGTGAGGCAAGTGCTCTAACACTGAGCTACAGCCCCAGCCCCAACATGGGGATCTTTATATTACAACATTATAAGAAAAATACAAAGCCCTAAACTGTACATATGGGATCCTAGAACACCGTTTCAAAAGAGAGTGAAGAAACACACCACCATTTTTTAATGTTATCCATTAGTGGTGGGCTCATTCAGGGTTTATTGTATTTATGCTGTTATGTTTTAATTTTAATTAATTAATTAATTAATTAATTAATTAATTTTGGTACTGGGGATTGAACCCAAGAGTGCTGAGCCACATCTGCAGCCCTTTTGTAAAAAAAAAAAAAAAATATCTTATTCAGAGACAGGGTCTCCCTGAGTTGCTAGATAGGGCCTCACTAGGTTGCTGAGGTTGGCCTTGAACTTGTGATCCTCCTGCTTCAGCCTCCCAAGCCACTGGGATAACAGGCATGAGCCACGAGGTTAGGCTGTTTTCACTTTTTAACAACTTTCTATACTTTTATGTTGGGAGAGAGAGAGGGGAAAAAATGACCTTTATCTGAGAATTCCCTGGACTCTCTCCTCTCAAGGTCATGTCGTATGTATGCAGTGTCCTCCTGCCCACCTGTCCACAGAGGACTCCACCAGGAGGAAACATGGGAAGGCATGAAGTCAAGTGTTGGTCCTACCAAACATCTAGTGCAACCCTTTTACTCCCAGTCCAAGTTGACATGCCAGAGCACCCTGACCAGCTGCCTCCATCGCCCTCATCGGAGGCCGCTCAGCGGCTGTTGTGAAGACAGTGCGAGGGGGTGTGTTCTTTCCATCCCCCGTAGGAAGAATTATTTTGTTATTATGTCATTTCCTGTTTGTCAGGGTGAGGCAAGATTACAGGTGACAGTGTATATACCATGCCCTTGCTGAACTCGGAATGTCTTCCTCTCGTCCCTTCTTCTTTTCTCATTCTTCTCCTATTCCTCTTTCTTTCTCACCATTCCCATCATACAGGTATGATTGATCTTCACATGTTGCTATTGACAGAATCACAGCCTGCAAAGTCCTTGAGGTGCTCTCTCTCTCTCTCTCCCTCCCCCCCCCCCCCCACTTCCTTCTCTTTCTTTCTTCTTGGTGCCTTTACTAGAGGCATGGCAAACACAGCCCCTGCTCCTCTTCGTGGGTTTCCATTCACCTCCCACCTCAGAGCACTTAACCCCAAAGCCTACACGCCAACCATTTCTCATTCTCTCTTAGGAAAATCTCAAATCTTAATTCAGAACTTGGACATCTTCCTTTGGATCCTAACTTTGCTCTTTGCTACTGAGTAAGATAGGCTCAATCTATCACCAAAACAGTCGGGTCTTCAGTGTAACCCACGTGCAGTGCAGGATCATGCAGACTTTCTTGACTGCTCTCAACTCCAGACGTCCCTGTGTTGGGCTGGGGCAGGTCCTTACCCTTTGGTCCCTCTGGTTGGCTATATTAGGCAGCTTTCCATGACCTGAGATGATCAGCTTACAAAGATTGACACCTTATTTCATCTCTGTTTTAGAGGTTTTGATCAAACGATTGGTTGACCCCATTGCTTTGGACCTGTGGCAGTACATCACAGAGGGGACTCATGGCAGAGCAAAACTCATCCTGTGGTTAGTAAGCAAAACAGAGGGAAAAGGGAGCTCGATCCCCACTACCTCCTCAAAGGCATGTTTGCAGTGACGCAAGAACCTCCTGCTAGAGGCCCCACCTCTTAAAGTTTCTGCCACCTCTAAATAGTACCAAGGTGGGAACCGAGTCTTTAGTTCATGGGCCTTTAGGGGACATCTAAGGTCCTAATCATAGCATTGCCTTTTGGCCCCTCTACCTATGGCTCCCACTATCCTCCCATGGACTATTCTCATTGACCTGGGGTTTCTGGGTCTTCAATGAGAAACACTTCCAAGGCAAAGACCTTTCTTTAGCACCCAGAATAAGCTGGTGCAGTAACGCGCTAATATTATTGCTTCCCCAGGAGGAAGACAAAGGGGAAGAAGGTCCAAAAGTCCCTGTCCTGCCTTCTGGGGACAAGCGATGGGTGAGAAAGAAGGGAGAGAGCCCCACCCCGCCTCCTGGGCAGTCTCCCCACAGTTCCTTTGCCAGCCGCGTGGAGGTCTTGACAAGTCTTCTCCGATGGCCCCTGGGTGCTCTCTGGTCGCATCTGCCTCCCTTCTGTGACTATCTTCCTGTAGAATCCCTCAGTCACTGAAGACCTGCCTCAGTTTCCCGCAGGGCTCCTCTGGCTGGGAGTCCTACCTGTTAAGGCATCCTTCCCCAACAAATGAGCAAGGTCAAAGCATTTCAAGGAGACGTGCATCCTCAGGTACAGAAAGGTCCTTTGTTGACAGTCTCCTAAGACCCCCAGAGGACTGCTCTGGCTCCAGAAAGAAACCACCTCCCCCTGCAGGGCCCTGCTGTTCTGGTCACCATCACCAGGCTACCCCAGCAGAGCTGCTAGGTCAGCGGGACAGGTGCCTCTACAGACCCTTTGAGGGGGTCTTCTCTCTGCTTACACCCTTCCGAGCCACAAGCTATTGATCTCCTCCAAACAGGGCCCAGCAGTCATGCAAACCTCAGCCCCACACAGGGGTCCGGGATGGAAACCTCTGAGCCATTAGGAATACAGTCTCTTTGCTTACTTAATTTTGAATTAATTTTAAGATTAAAAAATCAAAAGATCTCATATGAAATGTCCAACTTTCTGGTTTCAATTACAAAAACTCAGGGGAGCTAGGAAGGCTATGCCTACCTTCGGCAGGACAACAAATAGGTGATGGGAATCTCTGCAGTAAAATGCACACGAGAGAGGTTACCAGAGATCCTGCACCTCGCATTCTCCCCAGCAAGGACCCTAACAGCCTCCAGTGGATGAATGTCCTGCAGGGGTCTGTAGGTCCTGAATTTATCACTCTGTTCCAGGCCCTTCCTTTCTAGGACCTGCCTTCCCACATCTTCCTTTGGCTCCTAACTTTGCATGTGTTTGCTCCTTCACTTTGTGTACCTGAGGATGCATTTCCACTTGACATGCTTTGACCTTGCTCATTTGTTGTGTTGCAAGTGCTTTGGGCTGTCTCAGATATGTATGCTCTGTTTATCATTTTAGAGCAGTGGTTATTAATTTTTTCAGATTCTTCTTGGGAACCTGAAAACTATAACTCTTCTTCTCTCCCCTCCCAAATGCATACATGTTCGACATTTCACCCACAATGCAAAGGATTTATAGATCCCTGGCACTCTAGGTGATTTGTAGCTGCCACATGAGAAATTGTTGATTTAGGGTAAGAACTACCTTTTCTATTAACCTATGGAGTCCCAAGTTTTCAATTCTGTGAACATATTAATTATTTCACATTTAACATTTATTGTTCAATTTAAGTTTTTATAGAGATGATGGGACAAATTGGGTTAAAAGAACTTACCTGTTTACCATCAATTCTATGAGTCTTTACTGTGCACTGGGCTCAACAAAAGCCACTGAATGTTGCCCAACTGATGGACAGTAAGGCATCCATTAAAATCGTCATTTAATAGCCAATGAATATATGAAAAAATGTTCAGCATCTTTAGCAGTCAGGGAAATGCAAATCAAAATTATACTGAGATTACATCTCGCTCCAGTTAGATCGGCAATTATCAAGAGTACAAGTAATAATGATGGTGGTGAG